GAGACATAATAGTTTACGATATCCCGTATACCTGGAACCTGCAGAAAATAATAGCAGAGTTAAAATTTTGGGGGAACGCTATTAAATGTTCCGTTAAATGGCAATATAAGTATCAGACTCTTTGAGTCAAAATAGCACTTTCCTCATTTGCCCTTCCCCAGTTTAATAAATATTGGATGACAGACCTGGGAGGTATACCCGTTAGATGGTTCCCTGCAAGTTGGACTTTACGAGAAAGAAAACAACGTGAAAAATTCCAAGCCGTTATTCATGACATTCCGGAGTTTATGACGATGGCTACCTTGTGGATGGACCGTAAACCATGTGAATTTTTAATGAAGTGCGGTGCTAGCTCATTTAAAATAATCCAAACAAGCAATGGAAGGAGGAAACTCGTGGCCTATTTCAAGAATTGGGAGACCACACTAAGGGCCTTAGATACGCCACAGTTTTTCGTACCTGACGGTAAGGAGTTGAAATGGTGTCGACACTCCATTCCTACCTTGAAGAAAGCACAAAACAAACCGAAGGCTAAAAATACACCGAATCTGAAAAAATCAGGTAAGTCTGATAAGAATTTGGAAAGTAATCAGCCTAAGAAGAAGGATAAACTTACATCCTCGAAGAAAGTCCTGAAAAATAATAACCAGGAAGAGAAAAACCCGAAGACTCAGAAGAAGGCAAAGAATACTTCAAAGAAAAAGGGTGGTAATAAAGATAACAAGGCGGTTTTAGCAGAAATTTTAACTTTATTACAGAAACTAGTTTAGCCTACGCTTTAATTAGCGGTTTTACAAATTTCAGAATTGTATTATTTTTTAGGATAGAACAGATTTATGTGTTTGCACCATAATTTCTTGGAAAGGGGACTTGTCCTCTCCACTTTTTTCCCCCTCCTATTTTTACCCAGTGTGTTCGCCTGGACTTTTTACCGGACGTGGTAGTAGTACAGGTCTTTTATTTTCAAGTAGTTTGGGTTGGCTTCCAGCTCCTCTGGAAATTGATGGTAGGATTAATTTGGGTTGTATTACTTCGGGATCATGCCCTTTGTAAAATCCCCTGCCGGCTTCACATAAAATAAAATAAAATAAAATAAATGGCCACAAATGATGGTACAACGCGGTTACTAAAAAAATCATAACCGATCTGTCAATTCTAATAGATTAGTTGACTTACAATTTATATGTAGTTATAGTTTTCCTTTATTATTTCTGCCAGTTTGGCATAGTATAGAAATAGATAGACTTGTTTGGAATCATTGGAAGAGGTTACGTGGTCTTTGAATAGTAATTGGAAGGATTATTTCAATAACCAAACACATGATATATCAATAGAATGGAATTGGACCGCACACTGGTGCTATCTTAATAACATTAACAAGAGCCGTTGTAATAATATTGATACCAACAATACTCTAATTAATTTCATAAAGTCTTCAAATAACTTATTACCTACAGTTGACAATCTCAGAAAACATAACGACATTTATGATGATGTACTGTGTCCAGCTTGCTGTGATCATGAAGAGACTTTGAACCATTTAGTAATATGTGCTGGATTGGAACAAGCGTTCCTCACTGCTGAAAAAGAAATGATAGATAAGATTCGAACGTTCCAAGTGCAAAAAATCTGTCATGATCAATGAACTCTACATCACCATATTTGAATATAGAGACCCAGCTTTTCCTGAACCGAAACAAAGGAATAGACAGGAATTACTATGTGGTTTGATTTCACACACGATCGTAAAGAGGCTTAAAAAACTCACATCAAGAAAAATTGCTTCATGCCTGTCTCTAAAGATCATTAAATACTTTCATGAAGCTTTTAGGGAACATGTTTGGAAACCACACCTCAGGACAAGTGTAAGACCTCAAAGACACATAAGGAGGACATAGAAACTCAACGCAATCATTATTGACATACTCTAACTCATTTCGTGAACAAAAGGTATCAAAATATAATGAAGGCTTGCGTCACCTCCTTGGAAGTCTAGGAAAATTTCCATTCAACATAAAAAAACAATAATAATGATAAAAAAAAATTATGATAAAGTTGCAGCGTAATGGGTCCCGTGATCACCAGACATTGAAGATAGGGCCTTTATGGCTAAGATGACCTATTACTAAACGAATTCTACCTACGACAGTGCACACGTGGGGTACTACCGGTATGACGAGTGGTTTGTAGTTTAATTATATTAGAGTAGTTATTAGGGAATTTTACTTTGTATATATTTTCTTTATTTTTTTACTTTAATAAAACTGCAAATGCGCTGCAGAAAAAAAACAGATGTAAATTAAATTTAAAAACTTATCAATTTTATGAACATAATTAGATAAATTAGAATTTGCTATTAATACATTATGATATATACCCATTACTCTTTGACCAAATGGATGCAAATTTTTATAGGCTTTTCCTATCAAATAATGTAATTTATCAATATTATTCAATGATACATGTACTTCTGCTAGGATATCTTTGTTAAAATATGCTTTGATTAAATTTCCTATTAATTAATATAGTATATTAAAATATTAATAATACAACAATAATAAAGTATTCACTAAAATTCAATATTATACCTGATAAAATAGATCTTGAAGTGGTAGTATCATCCTGATAAATTGCCAAGATTGTAAATTGTTTTTAATTCCAGCAGGTGTTCTGTGGAGAATGGTTGTGAACACCAATACAAATAAGAGCAACAAATAGACATTCAGCAATATTGTGAGGAATAATTTTGATAAATTGTACTAAGCATGATTTTTCAATTATATCACTGCAGACAGCAGTTCCATTGTTTAAATGAGGAATTTCTTAAATTTAAAAATTAGATAATTATATATGGCACTATAATACAATATAAAACTAAATAATTAGATACATTACCACATTTTTTGCGTCTACAATTTCTAGGAATTATCATACTACAATTTGCCATTTCTCGCGCCTAAAATAATTAATTTAGTTTTTAGTTTTAAAAAATAGAAAATGCAAAAGATTTTTAGTACTTACAGGTGCAGTACCAGAAAATAGATTTTGGGGAAGTGAAATATCTATTTCTTCTGGTTTAATTTTAATAAATCGATACCATTGATCACCCTGTTTGAATTTATCAATAAAATATGTAAACTATTTGAGTTTGATAATTAGTCATCTTCCAATACGAGCTCTTCCATCATAAGATATATTCTCTTTTTTAAAAGGGTAAGAAGATTCATTTACTGCCAAAAATAAACTAAATAAATTTATAAATCATTTAGTTCAAAATAATAAACAAAATCAAAGGAATAATTGTTAATATCTTACATGTATGTTTTGGCTTCTTTGGAATTAATGTCTTGCTGTTGTGTGTACTTTTTAAAAGTTTCAGAATCAAAATCAATGCTACAATGCTCTTGGTTGACAAATTCTTGATCAGTAATTAATGCCCTGGCACATTCTTTTATCTTTTTAATTGATATTCTACCAAAAAAAGGACACTCCTTAATATTTGAAGAACCACCTGAACCATTTGTTGAATATTGAATCTTATCATAATAATAGAATTTTAATTAAATATATATATTTGCTATCAAATCAAATTCAATATATACTTACATCTGAAAAAGCATCCATGTGATTCTTCCAACCAGTGACATTGTATATTGTTGACTTCCTCCAGTAAGGTTTCTGGGTATTCTACAAAAACAGTTGTATAGATTATTTTTGGAACTTGTAGTTTGGAAGTAAAGAAAGCAACTGTTTCATCATTTTCATCATCTTCACTTTTATCTTCATTAATATCATCTCTATCCTATTTGATTTTATTTATTAGAAAGGATAAAATATTATCTTATTTCACACATTATTTACCTTATCTTAATTAACTATTTTTGCAACATCTGCAAAATCTTCTGCATTATATTCTTCAATATCTGAAAGCTCAATAATGGATGACATTGTAAATTTGTAATTTTGAAAAATGTAAAATTGGAATAGATTGATTTTTTTTAATAAAAAAAAGTATTTTGACATGTTACATTATTTAGTATGCGTTTTTGATTTGTGATCAAAAATAAGTTACTATTTAACTACTTACCATATTTATTTAAAATCAAGTTGGATAATTGATTTATATAGATATAAGGATGTAAAAATTATTAATTATTTTGGTACATTGTGGTCAAATTTTGATTTAAGAATAAAATCAAATTGCTACTTCTTCTAAAATAATCTTTAATAAATAAATTCCAATATTTACAGTGATTTATGGCAATATAATTGTCGTGATTAAAGTAATAGATCGGTAATCTAAAAAATTTTACATATTTAATAAATTAACTTAATTTGGTTAATAAATATTTAATAGACCAAGTAATAAATTTTCTCACTCCTATTCAAAATTACATTATAATTAGTATTAAATAACATTATAAAACATGATAATTAGTAAATAAACATTATAATTATTAGTGAATGAAATTAATTATATAAATAAACATTATATTTAGTTGATTACATTTAGTAAATAAAAAAAAAAGAATAAGAAACGAAGTTAAATGTCATTTCTTAAAGTAAATTTCAAAGAAAATCCTTTTCCACTTAGTGATATCATTCCTAAAAAAAAAGAGAATTTAAAGTTTCTTAAAAATAAATGTAAATGAATTATTTTTTAATTATCTATTTATGCCATGTAAATTTACGACATTACGGCACCAAATTAAATTATGGCATTACGGCGTCAAATTAAATTACAGCATTACGGCATTTACGATTTGCAGTTTTTTTTTACGGTGATACAGCACATGCTGTAACCGTAAAAATAATTCTGATGGCATCTATACTAGTAATTATAGTACATATACACAAAAAAATACATAACAATAACAAAGCAAACCATATCCACATTTGCCAATTATCAGTTATGTGGCGCAGTACTGATTAAAATCAATCAAAACCCATAACACAAATACTGACAGGATACAAAGAAGAGTGAGAGCAAGTCAGAGACATTATTGTGTGATATTCCTTTTTTTTTTTTGCTGCAGCACATATAGATTTATTAAGATTTTAACAATAAGTTCATACAATACACGTAAAATTACCATAAATCCTAATTTAGTAAAGAACTACACCATCTGCTAATTTGGCGAAGCAACCATATGTGCACTATCAGTAAAGGACTTAGGCTAGGGGAGTAAGTCTACCTTTTTCAGGTGTCTTTTCTTAGTGCCCCCAAGGACCAGTGTTGGAAATTCAATGTGCGGAGTGTGTGCGCGCACAAATTTTAAAAACTCCGCACATGACCAAAAATTTTTGCGTGCGCTTTGCGCACACAAAAATTTGCATATCTGACACATTCTTGTATATTTTACACATTTCCGCACATTGCATATGAATTTGCGCACATAAAAATTGCAAATAATGTGTGGATTCTGCACATGATTTAAAATCTGAATTTCCAACACTGCCAAGGACTCACTGCTACTGCAGATGAAACCCATATCGAACAAAAAAAAATAAAAGGAGCAGAACAATAAGTCAGGTAAAAAAAAAATTTAAATTAGTATTTTACAGATACGAAGTTTACTATACTGTCTACCACAATCGATCATTATAATTAATATTTCTGGGAATTTTTTCATAACAATATCTAAACCGAAATCTTTCAAGTTATTTTTTGATAATTGAAAAGGTAGAAATCTACATATAGTCGCCAAGGCCAAGCAGTCATCCCGCCAGTTCTCAAGCCTTCTTAGTAGTGATCTAATTTCTGCTAACAATGTTAGTTTTCCAGATTCACTACCGTCCAAACCTTTTTTCATATTCTTTAAAGTTGAAGATATGTGTTTTTTTCCAATAGGTTTGCTCATCTTAATCTTGTTATCTGTAGTATTTGTTCTAACCTTGTTAGCTGAGTCTTGGTTCTGCTTCTGATTTCGGCCACTTCTTGGTGATCAATTCTGACCTTTAGATAGTTGAGATTGTATATGATATTCTGTATACCTAGGATGTTAAGAAAATCTAAGGAGAATTAATGTTATGGGCAATACTATTAAATTGTCTGTAAAATGGCAACACAAATATCAGACTCTTAGAGTCAAAATAGTGTTGAACTCATTTACCCTTCTCCAATTTAACAAGTTCTGGATGACTAACCTGGAAGGTATACCTGTGAGATGGTTTCTTGCAAGTTGGACTTTATGAGAAAGAAAACAATGTGAGAAGTTCCAAGCTGTAAATCACATAATATCATGTTAAATGCATAATTATGCGATAAATGCATAATTTAAGCTGATCGCATCATAAAATCACATAATTTAAATTATCCCATATCACTGATATCAGAGCGTATAATCCGCAGTAAAACATATTTAATTTGCTATGGATTATCAGTTCAATCATCTTTTTTTCTTTCACAATGCCAAAAAAACAAAAAACATCATCAGTTTTTACTAGATGTAATGAATATAAAGATATTTTTCGAGTTGATGACAATGTTCTCTTTTGCAATTATTGCAATATTTCTATAGACTGGAAGCGTAAATCTACTGTAGATAATCATTGTAAAAGTCAGAAACACGTTATTGATGTAAGAAGTCAAAAAGAAAGCCAGAATAAAACACAACAACTTACCCTTTTATGTACTCAGGCAGTTTCAGAATCAAAAAAACAACTTATTGAAGACCAGACATTCCTCTTGAAAAAGTCAATTCACTACTTCTATTTTTTAAAAAACATGTTAAAAATGGAGGTTCCATTCCTCAAACCCCTACTCTCAGACAAAATTACCTACCTAGCATTTTTGATAAACACTTCCAGTCACTTAAATTATTTTTTGATTCAAAACCTGTGGCCATAATTATGGGTAAAACTACTGATGATTGTGCTCGGAGTGTTGTCAACACCCTTTTTTGTTATCGTAATGAAACAAAATGATTTTCTTGAACATGTAAATAATACCACAATGGGACAAGTTCTCACAACCATTCTTACTCACTTTAATATATCCTTCAATTTGCCATGCCTATTTCTTTCAGATTCAGCCACGTACATGAAAATTATAAATCTTATTGGGTATGTAGGCTGCTGGTAGACATTATTTTTATTGTAAGAGGAGGCGAATTTCATCATGATAATAATTATGGTTACATAGTGGTCGATATTTTTCTTTTTTCTTTTTAATTATTTTGCATTAATTTTCTTGTTCAAAGTGTTTGCACAATCTAATATGAAAAAAAAGTTCTAATTAATAAAAAAGGATTTGTTTTTTTCTAAATAAAATTAAAGAGATATGTGGAGAACATTACCTCAATTTCATACTTTAAAATGTTTTTTAGATAAAATTAAAGAGGTTTTTGTTAATTTTCCTTCCTGAAGAGGATGATACCTGGCTTATTTAAAATGCATGGAATTCCCTCACCATGCAAAATTCCTTTATATAACAAAATGCATTGGAATTCTTAGTTTCAGATGGTTTCATATGCAAAGGATCATATTATCTATTGGCCTTCTTTTTTTAAAGAAGAATTCAATAATGATAAGAAACACAACACTTTGGCTGCTATTAATTCTTTCTTGGAAAATGAAAAGGAATTGCAATTTACTTTAATTTCATTTCCTCTTATGCTAAAGAATTTGTTTAAGATCTTGATTTTTTCCAACAATTAAAAAAACCTGTTTTTCCTTTTGTAGAATTATACCTTCAACAACTTTTACTGCATATATCGAAACATATAGGAATTCAAATGATTTTGGTTTTTTCTTAGAAAACTTAATTAATAGTCTCCAATTTAATACACATAAATCCTATTTCATTTTTTGGGCAGCATTTGAAGCAGCTTATGTCAAGTTTGCTGCACATATTCCTAATCATCCAGCTCAGCCACTTTTCTATGCATGTCAAGTATTTGCAAAAAAACATTTGACAGTATAGTATAATTAAAGAATTTGACAACCTATTAGATGACTTATTACAAGAATGGAGAATTTATTGTAAATTAGATAACGAGTTTTTAAGTGAAATGGAATTGGATTGATATTGGGAAGATAAGGCAATACAACTGCCAATCCTTTCTAATATTGCAATGGATTGCATTTGGCTGCTAATTTCAAGTTGTACCATTGAACAAAGTTTTTCTATGTATAATTCTCTTTTAGATAGTGATCATCAAAATCTGTCTCAAGATTCTCTTATAGCTGATTGCAAAATTGTAAGATCACCTTATGATTTTTTAACCAGTAAAAAATCAAATTAAAAACCTGTTTATTCAACTCCTTAAATAAAAATAGAAATATATCATATGATTCAATATAAATAAATTACTTTAAAATCTTTATTAATTTTAAAAAGTTAAAGTTATTACCAAAATAGGTATTTAAACTTGCTTTTTTACTAATTCTTAAAAATTCAAAATATCAAATTTTCAAATTGAAAATCATAGGGTGGTCTTACAATTTTGCAATCAGCTGTAATGGGCCATATCAAAAAAGATACAATTTCTGAGAAAACATGCCAAAACTACATGTATTTGTGGGGATATAAGTATGATGAAAGAAAAAAGGGGGTTGAAATACAAAAAGGAATGGTTGAAGAGGATGTTTGAATATCAAAGCTTAATAACAGATTTTGATGGTGATACGATGGATATAGTTTCAGAACCCCAACTTAAGCCAGGAGATAAAGAATTAGTTCAGATAACACATGATGAATGCCATTTTTACACAAATGATGGACAGCGGAGAATCTGGATGAGAGAGGATGAAGATATTCTATGCTCAAAACACCAAGGATGCTCTATCATGGTTTTCACCTTCCTTTGTCCATGCCACGGGTTGCAAATGCGGGAAAATCTACACATTAAAAGTAAAGAAGCTTTCATTCTTCGTTCATTACAGAGCATATGCTGGATCAGGTAGGTCAAAAATTTATAGACCTAAAGTTAGGAAATATGATAACACCCATGATAATCAAGAAAGTATTTCTTATGATAGCACCCATGATTATAATAATATCCGTGATAATATTCCTAACAATAATACCCTATTTTATAATGCCTACAAAAATTTTCTTTATGACAACACTTACGAAAGTCTACCACCCACTTATGATAATAATACCTACTATGAAAATCTATCTTATGACGTCTGTTTACCCTATGACACCCTTGAAAATCTATCTTATGATACCTATCTACCTTACGATACATGCGAAAATTTTTCTCATGATGGTATCCTAGATTATGATGTCTCCCGCGAAAATCTAAATGAAAACCTATCTGATTGTAATGAAAATCAATCTAATCAAGTAATAAAAATTTTTCTTCTATCATTAATTTCGTCTTCTAATAAGCAATCTAATTATTTTGTTTCTAATGTTTGTTAGGCCGGACCAATTAAAATGTTTGTTTAACATAACCCCCTTCTCTCATTTTCTAAAAACGGTTCTTGAACAACAACACTATATATTGTCTATATTAGCGAATGATTTAATCAATTACACAAAAGAATATATTTAAGTTTTAGTGTTACATTAATTTATATAAAACACGGAAAATACTATCAAAACTTTATTGATGTATGCTCAACCATAGAAAAATACTGCGTGCTAAAATAAAATTAAGTTTAAATATGTTTGATTATGGACAAATGCTACGTGTCAAATTGAATAAATATAATAAATATTGTAATATTTTTAAGAGATAATTTTGATACATTATTAAATTTTTCAAACATGGTCCATTTTTTTGTTAGCATTGACGAAGGGCAAAAAAATATAATCAGTCAACAAGTTATTAAAATTGTTGAAGAAACATGTACTGTACATTTGGTGAAATATATGAAGCAATTACTGAAGGCGTATTTGGTGTATGTAATGTAAGGGTTTACGTTGGTAAAGGGAATGGCAAGTAGAATAATCTAAGAGAAGGATTGTATGATGATATAACTTTAATGTCAGAGCTAGAATTAAAGTATATACGTTTTATTGTACATACTGAAGAAAATAATATAGTACAACAAAATCAACAATTTGAAAGAAATGCATTTCCCATAAGCCATACTTTCCATCAATTAAAAGAGAAGATACTCAACGAGATGTTTTATACAATGATGTCATAGCATTATTAAAAGAAAACCAAAAAAATGGTTGGAGAGTAGATCAGAAGAAAATTGCGAAAATATTTATCAAGCAACTTGTAGATCTTCTTTGGTATATTGATCTGCATCATGACACACTTGCTTCTCATTCACTATATCTTAAGTCAATATCAATGTGGCAGCAATTATAATAAATTTTATTATACTTCACATCATAAAAAAGAGAGTCTTAAAAGAGAAAAACTTGAGCAATTAGCAGAATCATTGGAGCTCTCAATTGGTCAACCATGGGCGAGTGAAGCAAAATGGACAGATTTTATTTTAGAAGTATTTGAATTAGCAAATATGATCAACCAATATGCGAAGTATTTACAAAGAGTTTAAATGTTCGTCATACTAGTAATATGGCAGTACGAAATGTTAGTCAAGATCTGTAAGTATATACCGTTGAAAGATGCTCAGAAATTGTCTAACAAGAACAATTACGAATTTTTTAATCTTGAGGAATATATTCCATCTAATCCAATGCAAAGATATTGTTATATTTAAAATTTGCAACTTGACTTTCCTGTCACTATTTACCAGTATCACCAGGGCAATTATCTAGGTACTCTTAATTATATATGGAAAGCTCTATTATTAGCAGATCAAAGATTAGAAACAGAAAATGCACAAGTAATATCAATAATTCAAGAAAGCTTTCCAAAGTATTTTACTCGCCAAATAAGAAAAAATGTATTAAATTAATAAATTATTTGCTTTAAAAAGTATTCTCTTATCAAAAAGGTTACTCCAGTTATGCTTCAAACATTGTATTATGATTTAACTGGTGATGCTTCCACAACATTGAATCCTATTTGCAAAGAGAAATTGAAGATTGATTACGATTGATGCTTATACTTAAAGATCCGTCAATAATTATTTATTTACAAGTTAATAGTGGTTTCAAAGGCAAGGAATTTGACATCTTTTAGAATAAAATGGAAGCCTATTTTAATGAGGTAATTTTTGATTAACATATTATTATTATCAAATTGTTTCATTCAATTTAATTTTTTATTTGAATTATCAATATAGAATATGCCAGCAGTTGATGATCGATAACACAAACTAACTTTATATATGCCATTAGCTATTTCAATTCGTGATCTGTGTGGAACTATAGTAAAACAATTGGAAGCCCAAATATCGCACTTCCATGTAAAAAACTCTTTCCCAAATACATTTTTTACGAAAATTTCTGCGTAATAATTTTTTTTAAAAAATAATCCCCTTTATTAAATTTTATTACACAAATATAAAAATGTCTATGGATAAGAGTCGAACACCAAACGAAGCAGCTTTAGACTTCGTTTCCAAGTTTAACAAAATTTATTTTCAGACTTTTACACACCACTTAAGTTCTTTTGTACAGGACGGTTTCCTCAAGGACTTATTTGAAAAAAACCCCTCAGTACCTAAGGATAAAGCCCAGTTACTGATACAGAAGTTTGGCGAAACAGCCAACCCTGCGAACTTCACTTC